TGTGGATGAAGCTTGAAGCAAACAGTCATGATTATACAAGATAAATATCTTATGGCCAATCAACTAGCGTTAAGATAATTATGAGATTTTTGCAGCATCTGGTTGCTACACGTTCATGTTTTAAAGCGCTGGTAACTGTTTACTGGCTATGTTTAAAAGAACGTTATATTCTAAGGGCATATATCTTCCTTGAGCTACACACTGATCCAAGCTAACTCAAAAACTTTCCCAGAGGACTACAGAGTTGCAGGAAGTGCAGAAGAGAGAGAAAACAGCTGGGACTGTCATTCCAGGCTCATAATACAGAATTGGAATAAGGGTTACATCAGAAATCGCTTCAGAGAAAATGTAGAATGCAGAGATATCATATCAATCACACTCCAGAGACCTCTTATGATTATTTGGAGATCTAGCGGCATATGTTTTCTTTATACATAGAATGCCGAATATCTGCTATACTGTCTAAAATATTGATACATGGAGCTTTCAGTCTGATAGCCATGTCTTCTTCTCTAAGTTGCTTAATGGTAAAGTCCTCCAAAGGGCCTCTGAAATGTTGAAAGAGTGTATATATCCCTTCTAATAACTTTATGAGGTATCTTAAGGTGAGAGAAATAATCATGCTGTGCACTTGATGGTTGAACTTCAGAATTTGAGCCAAAATCCACTCAGGACTGGTCCAACACTAACCATAACATCTCACTGGCTATCCTCCTTGATAACATCATTCCCACATACTGATACAGAGCAGCAGGATTCCATGACCTAGGATATCATATTCTCAACACAGAGTATGAGAGAACGGGTGAAGTCATTTGAGAACAGAAGAGATTTTCAGACAGTTAAGACTATTTAGAAATGGAAGAACAAAGGATATATTTGATAAAGAAATAAAAAAGGAACGTCAACGTTGCACAGTGTATGACAAATTGATGCAGAAGTCACTGACTTTTTTTTAAAGTAGCTGTAGGAGATGACCAGGCTGAGCCCAAGGGAGGGAGTCAAATGTGTTATCAGCCATGATTCTAAGTCCAGCCCACCTTGAATTCCTGTGACTCTTTTCTACCACCAATTTGCTTGGGCTGTTAGTAATTCAGATTCTTGTAGAGAGCTTACGCTTGCAATACATATTTATACCCATTTTAATTGCCTGGATCTCCTGATTTCCCTGGAGCTTGACAGTAGCCTTCCAATTTCAATCGCTATGATAATAATAAATGATGATGGGAGATGAAATCCAGTATCACTAGGGTGGAGAACATATACATGGCAACTGATTTGATAATACACTAGTAACTTTGTTCACAAGTATATACTAAACTCATGATCAGGAAGGAACCTTCCAAAGTGTTCTATTAATTGGGGCTGCCCTGGAACCTAAAACGCATTGACATACACTGAAGCAATTCCACATATCTATTTTTTTTAAAAATTGTTCGATTAACTTGTCTGCTCCAACTTCAAAAACTTGTAGATTTCTGCCTCTATTAAGAATGAAGTGCTTAATATACTAGATAATGGAATAGGTCAAAAACAATTTTTATTTTTGTTTTTTAAAAAAACCGACAACAAAAACCTCTAGTACTTGATTAAGGAAAAAATGTCTTTGTGAGATAGTATGAGGACTACTGGATACTGGTTCTAATTTTCAATCAATA